TATCGAGCAAAGATATAAGTTAAGGAAAGATGCAACGATTGGAAATGTCTTCGCCAATTGCAGTTTTTAAAACGACTGCCTGGCCATTTCCAATGTTCCTTATTTATAAGAAAACAGTATAATAAACAGCATACAGAACTAAATGGAAACTTCAAGTGCAGTTTTATATTCAGAATAAAACATTGATTATCAAATGACACATGTTTCTATTACATATTCTCAAAAATAGCACCAAGTTAAAGCATCTTGATGTTGTCAGTACATTGTTCCTCAGGTTGTTCCTCCACGGTATATTCTGGATTTGATTCACAAATTCGCTTGTTTTTCTTAATAATTTACACCAGGGGTCTCCAACCTTTTTTAGGACGAGAGCTACTTTCAAAAAATAAAACAAGTCGTGAGCTACTTTTACTCCTTTTTTTTGCAGTGTATATATTCAGCACATTTTAACATTATTATATACTTACCTTTAACCTTTGTGTGCTGTTTGAGTCTGTGGGACCCGTTTTCAGTGTTTACTAAAAGAAAATGTATGCAATTTAATTATTTTAATATATATAGAATATGATCACAACCAATAATAAATCATTTAAACGTATTATTCTTATCTTATGTTACCTAGTTAGCATTCTTTCTTTTTATTTAAGCATATTTTACTAATCACTCTCCTTTTAAACTTTTTTTTTTTTTTTTTACTGTCCTATAGTACACATTGGAATGATTTCTTACTTTATCTATATTAAATAGATAAAGGTGTGCTCTGTAGCTCGCTCTCTCTCGGGAGACTCTCGAGGTCGATCGACGACGCGTATAGAGAGTCTCTCGCTCGCGAGATCTCTTCTCTCTGCTGTCTCTCTCTCTATCTCTCTCTCATCTAGTCTCTCTCTTCTACTCTTCTTCCTCTCTCTCTCTCTCTCTCTCTCTCTCTCTCCGCTCTCCTACTCTCTCTCTCTCTCTCTCTCTCTCTCTCTCTCTCTCTCTCTCTCTCTCTCTCACAGAGGCTGTTTGCTCCTCCGTGGCGATGACGGCTTGCGTTAAAAAATAATAATAAACATATTTGAAAAGTGGGGGGGACATGTCCCCAGTGGAAATTACGCCATTCGTATGTGTGCGTCAAGTGCAATAAATAAATATGCAAGTTGCAACACACACACAGTAAAACCCTGCCCCTCATGTGCTGTATAGGCTGTTTTCAATGGGGCTGATGTGTTGTGTAGATTCTGCCAGAAGGAAAATCACGGTCAAACTCCTTATGGTGAGGTGCCGCTCCACTCATTGCTTTTCTTCCTGACTGCAACGCTGGTCCCTCAAATCAAGCAAGAACGTGATTGGTCGATATTCATTGTGGGGGGAGGAGGGGTGTTAGATAGATATATAGTTGTAATAAGTAGATAGAGTTCGCTATGATTGAGGTTTCGTTTATGCATAAGGTAGATTCTTTTAATTACATTTCCTTTTTTGTTTTGTGCATTTTTTACATTTTGGATTTGCTTGGCGAGCTATTTTCAGAACATGCCCCGCGGGCGACTCACGTTGCCCCTGCGGGCGACTAAGTGCCCGCGGGCACCATGTTGGCTACCCCTGATTTACACCAATGATATGTGTGTGTCTGTGGCACATGATACGTGTGTAAATTTGACCGGCATACAAATCTAATATTTGCCTCAGGGGTTTTGCCCAATGGCCAATATATCGATATATATATATATATATCATAATGTCAAGATGCCAGCATCAAACACTTCCTGTGTTGCTCTTTACTGTATATGTCGAAACCAAATAATGATAGAGGTTATTCCAGTTAGTTACAGGTATCTAATGGTATAATTGTGGGAAGTAAAAGCTATATTAGGTAGAGGAATCACAATGTCTCCTCCTGAAGGCTGAAGTCCCTTCCTCTCTCTTTTCCTCTTTTTTACCCCTCTTGGTTTTATAGCATATTTGAAAAGTGTTTGTTATTCCTCTCTTTTCTCCCCTTAAACCATTCATCCATCTTCCTTTAACTTGAAACACCTTGAAACTGATAGTTTATAAACTTCTCTTTCAAAGCAGCCCTTAGCACGCCCCTTTTCTCCTCGTCTCCCATTCTTTCGACCATTTATCGTTTTATTTGAGGCTGACGTCTCTCCATAGTTTAATCATTGTTTTACCCAACCATCCAATCTTTTTTTGCCTAATCCAACATTATATCTTAGTTTCCTCTTCTCAGGAGTTGCTTCGCGTCGGGCCGAACCACGCCCCTTAGCTGTGATATAATGAGCATATACCACGGCCTGTCGTGAGCTATTGCTTAAATATATACTGCTTCCTCTCCTCACTATATGACAGTCTGCTATCCATTTTCTCCTTCTCTGATGTGCTCTATTCATCTCCACTTCAAAACTTTTCCACACTTTTCCTTCCTTCCGTCACTCTAAGTATCCCTGTGCTTCTTCCCTTCATTCCTCCAGAGGATGGATAGTTTCCTCTGAAGATCAATGTGATCACACCACCGCTTTCATTTCTGACTCAAAACACATTTGAAAATGTTACACGTGAGAGGCGCACTCACCCAGCTCCACTTACTAACCACATTAAAAGGTATGTTTCTGAGCAAAGTGAGGCACTTCAATTAGTATTCAACCTCTGAGGCTATAATTAATGAAGTTTAGAAGGGGCCAATAAACAGTGTGTCTTGTTTTGGCAACCTCATTTAACTCCACTTAATGATTTATGTCCACGCATGATAGCTTTTAACCAAACTGCTTGTAATTGCAATCTGAAAAAACGCCTGTGAAAAGCTGCCATAACCAGATACATATATACATTTTATGCTTATACACTTAAAACTGAACATGCAGTGGTATGCTGGGTATTTAAGAGGGTGGACTGGTTTACATGTAAGTTATAGCAAAATATATTTTTTAAGCATTAGGTCTAGCCCATGGGGATGAGGCAAGAAAGAAGAAAAATAAATCTGTTAATCACTGTAAATTGGCATTGAAAGTCTGAGTTCATGTTAAATAACACTGTTAACCAGCACTTAATGAAAGTCGAAATGTTAGCTTAAATATTCACAAACCCAGAGCTGGTTCAGAGTCCCCCCCCCCCCTCCGAAAACCACACTCAATGCTACAGAAATTACAACCATGACTGTGGAGGCATTCATCAAAGAACACTGCGAAAACCCTGCGGTTTTTCAGCTGTCGACAACTGTATTTATGTAATTTCCAAATTATGTGTTCTTACCCAATCCAAATATTGACTTTAGGTTTTCCTACCTTTCAACGTTGTGCACCACTTCACACACTGATTGATTAGCGGTGAGGGCGAGGAGGGGAACTGGGAGTGTGTGTCACGTTTAATCATTAATTTATACCGCAAAGACCTGACACGTCATTATAAATGTCTTCATTTCAACTGCCTGTGTGTAGATTTTAAAAGTATATGTGTGTATGACTATATCTGTGCATTGATATAATATGTATCATTTGATCTTTAAAATGTCAGAAAGAAATGTCTGTCACATGTTCTGAGATAAAGGTAACACATTTAGGTTCATTATTTCTTGTGAACACTCAACAACTGTCAATTAATTTAATGGTTGATACTATAAATCTGGGCAAATCCTCACATGTGTGAAGCACCACCAGCTAAATATTTGTATTAAATACTTCCACTACTACTTAAACCAATCATGTTAATTGCTGTAATTCATATTCTATTCATCACTGTGAAGGGTTTGAAAGCATCATAGTAAGAGGGAGAATTAAAAGCAAAGATCATTTGAGGGTTTTCTCATCTCAGGTGCGTTCTCATCTTTTAGTTCAGCTCTGTTTGAAGTGGGTGAAAACAAGGCCAAGTGGCGCCCAATATTAATGTCCGTCTGAACAAATAAACTAATTACGAACAAACGACAAACATTACATACAAAAAATGCATTAAAACTTCCTCGCAATCCAGAGAAAGGAAAGTTGGGAGGGATATAACAAATGGTGGGAACGTTAAAATAGTGTACTAATGACAGAGACAGAGACACTGTTGAATGATACATACAGGAATGGAAAATGTGAGTTAAAAAGAAAGTGTGTATTGGTTTATAACTCATATGTGTGTTTTAATGTGAGTATGTAACCCTAGTTCTTGGAACAACACCTTTGCGCCCCATTGACGGGCATGATAATAGCGCTTGCAATGTTAGACGTTAGCAGAGGGAGCTTTCATCCCAGGAATCCTATAGTGGACACATGTGCTTTTACTATAAGAAGCCCTGAGGGAACTGAACCCACAAGAAAGAATCAGATACAGTAACATATACCAAAGAAGCTGAGCGATTATGTCTGTCTGACTAGGGATCAAACTCAAACGGCTACAGGTTGGCCCATTTTACTTCTAACTGCCCTCAGAGGCGTCTCCCTGGACAAAGAGTGTCTTTATCTCAAAAGAAATCCCCATAGTTCTATAGTTGAACAGAAAATTAGATCTAAGAATCTATCCTGCTTCAATAAAATGTGCCAATTCCCTCTGAGAAATATTTCTGCGATGAGGTGAAACTCAATCTGCGGAGTGGAGGATAGCCAGACTTTTTCTTCAGAGCTCCACTTCCAGAAAAGAAATAAGACATGCTCACCAGAGGTTTCCAAATGACCAAATAATGAATCATAATGTAGCAGGTGGTTTTCAATGTTGACTTACAGCTTTCCGTAATGGAGTTGTATCTGGATAAACACTCTTGACCTTTTTTTTTTTTGAATCATGGCGCAGTCATTACATGTGTCAGCCAGATTTCTTTTTTTTTCAGGAAGAGCAAAGCTACTCATATGTGAGGAGTTTGCTTTTAATAAAGTGTGATTAATGTCCATGTGTTCAGTTTTCACCGGAGTTCAATGTGTTGAATCATGACTTCGAAGGAAAAACGTAAGATTGGGTAAACTCTCCATTTTCTAACACACACACACACACACACACACACACACACACACACACACACACACACACACACACACAACAGAGCTACTCACATGCTGCCACTGCTCTCGGATGAGTGGCCGGTATCGAAGGAAGTATTTCAGAGGGAAGTTGTCGATGTCAGGCCAGGTGGCGGGGCTGTGCCAGGACACCTCCAGCCTCCGGGCGTTGTGACGGATCGGGGTCGCCGTGACTCGCTCCGGGGGGTCTGGTTTAACTGAGGGTTGGATACGAACATTTAGTCATTGGAAACCCCAACAATTTACCACATAAAAACTTCTACATTTCGTGCACAAGCGTAAACACCCAGGATTTCATACTGTGCTGCTTACACAGTATTTGTATCAAACAGAGTAGATGTTTTCCATTGGAATATCTTATTTGTCTGGTTTTGATATGAGGAAAATTTGTTCACTTCTGGAAATTCAGAAACACATGTTTTCGTCCATCTTTCAGTTCAAGCATAGGTCAAGACAACTCGGGTCAGAGTTCAAAGAAATTTGAATGTTTTCCGCACCCTGTCTTTACTCGGTGCTCTACGGACATCCCAGTTCTCTGCCATAATGTGAGTACGCCTCTAGGCTTGAGAATTCAAATATTTGACATAACCTGCATTAGAAACCAGGGACATGGAGTTTGAATCATGAGGAACATCTAAAATGAAGGGAAGTCTAAAGAAAGATACTATTGAGTTGCATGATGTAGACCACTCAGCAGTACAAGAATGCACTAAATAACCATTCTTTTCTAACCCTTAATGGTTATAAAGGTCCTATATAAGAGGGTCTCACTCTACTTCCAACTCTGACAAGAAGTCTCCTTCATAAAATGACTAAGGATTACTATAATTAGCATTATTGTAGTGTTTTCTTAAGTTCACCATATTGTACACTAATGGGAAATAGATTGTTAGAAGCAGGATGAGGACGAAGTGAAGAAATAATTCAAAGATTGAAGCTGAGAATGTTCAAGGAAACTGTAACTGCCTTTCAGTTCCCGATGAAAAGGCACGAATACATGTTATGTTTCTGAATACTTGTCAACTGAGTGGGGACAGGGAGATCGAGGAATTCAATACTTTGGCTTTTGAGAAGATATTGAATGACCCAGTCTTTGTTCGATCCTACTCACTATGGGAAAACAGTGGCCTGCCACTTCAGCTTCTCGAGACCTTTTCTCCCAGCTGTATGACATTTCAATAGGGACTGGATAGCGGGGGTTACAAACTGAATGGCCGATAAAACACATACAGATATAAAACCAGAGGGTGAAATTAAAAAAGCACAAGAATATAAACTTATAAGGAGGCAGGTAAACAGACATAGCAAGAAGCAAACAGACAGGCATCTCTATTCATATGACCTTCAGAAAATGAATAATTAAAATATGAAAGAGTGATGGGGATGATATGAGACAGATGAAAGCAGACAGACTACTTTCTCCCTTGAGAAAGAGATGTTAATCGCATAGTGACCTTCTTCAAGTAAACGTGTAAAAAAGATTAAATAGGCAAGGGAAGAAAGCGAGAGAGGACAAGCACATGAAACCAGTCAGTGGAGACATCTTTGTCCACATAAGCTTTGTCCAACAGTACACAGCAAAAGGAAACATGTGCAGGGATGGAACAAAGCAGAGAGAAATCTGTATGGGAGGGGAGTCCCGAAGGCTTTTAAAGTATTAATATGACTCAAACCATAGAGTATGAGCTTTGTGTTGCATGAGAAATATACACATTGTTCTTCTGTTAACAAAGCACTACTGTTAATACTAGAGCTGGAATGGAAGATGAATAGGATAGGTAAGGATTTAAAAATCCAGTCTTGGACTTCACAAACTAATGTCAAATAAATATTCAACATGCACAACTGGAAGGGAACGTAATAAGGCTGCATTCACAATAAATCAGGCGTTGAGACAGTTTGCAAGTGTCACTTAAATGGCAAATTTAACACCAAGCGACTACACGACGATAAACCACTTTGTACTTTTCCATGGTGAGGTGGTACAGATCTGGATCAGCAGGTACTTGATTGGGAACCGCAGCGTGACGTCAAGTTGTGTTTATTTTGTTTCAACTTTATGGTCGGTGCTTACACACTTCCTCAGCCTAAACACATTACTGATATTGAAATGAATTGGAGGACTAACATGTCCAAATGCCAGATTTGTTGTGAATGCACCCGTAAGGGATTAAAAGAGCTGTCCATTAAATGTAAGATGTCGTAGCTAAATAGAGCAAGCTATCTTCTGCAATCTCACAACAAATATGAATCCAAAAATAAGGTGGTGTAATAAAGGTGATGTTAATACAATAAAAACAAAATGCCACACCAGAGTGTACACTAACTCTTAATGTCGGGGTAAAGCACGTAGTCACATAGGATTGGTTAGAAATAGGAAGAGAAACGAAAAGGGGGGAAATTATGTCGGATCATAAGGGTATCATTTCCATTGTTGTGGCTGTCCATGCTTGACCTGAAAACGCTTATCTTTCCTCCCTTAACTCTACAAAACTGTTCCTCTTTCTTCTTTGAAGTCTCCGGTTCCAACAGTCTCTTCAGCCCATTCATTCTCTTTGCTGGTGATGCAAGTGAACAGGCATAGGGTACCATAAAAGTCAACATTTTTTAGACAGCTACTCGCAGGACCATTATCTTCACTGTTCAATGACAGTGGAACCAGAGAGCTGGCAATGGTGTGGCTATTCTAAAAAGTAGAAGCATTGCTTAAAGGCTGTTCTTGTGGCTGTGACTGTGCAGCAGTAAAACAGAAGAGATCTGCAATTTAGCATAAAGATGTTCCGCTGAATGCCTGGGTACATCCTCTGAGAACCTTATTATGAGGTTTCCACTCTAAAAGCGTTAGTATGCATCATCTAGTCCCTTAATGCATCCAGGTGTGACTGCATGATCTCCTTTCATGTAAATGGGCTTTTCAAAAACAAACAAGACAAAAAGAAGAAAGTGGAATCTAAGATTTGTTTCACGGCAGAACAGGTGTTGGATGACAGCATCTAACAGTGCACTTCAGCAAATGGGAAATTAGGGAGAAGTAGTGCTTCTATCTGCAGTGAAATCTTACAAAAATAGGTTCAAAGGAGGGAAAAGGAACCACAAGGGTGAAAAAAACAGCCTCCTCTTTTTAGAAGATTGCTGCTGGTTAGGAAAAACACATAGGCTCAAATTATTGAACTGTAGTTATTTAGTAACAGCTGGTTAGTGTTGGTCAGAGACACATCAAATCCCAGATAACAGCCTGTAGGTGCTAACTGCAACTACACTTTGTGTAAAGAGAAAAAAAGTGTAAAAAAGTAAGTGTACAGCATTTTGTAGATGTAGAGAGAATCACAGATGCGTTAAGTGCATTTTTACTGATGAACATATGGCGAGGTATAGCACATACATTTGATGACTGAATTAGCTTCCTAATTGAATCTCGAAACAAAAGGATTGCACAACATCACCCACACACATCATTTAATGACTAGAAGCTGAATATCCTAAATGCAAATTTGGCCATTTTGTGTCAGGTTGTCCCTGGCTCTCAAAAGAGTTTGGCTGGCTGTTTAATCTATGTTCATGTACTGAGATAGTACAACACACAGAGAGAACAGTACACCTATTGTGTAAGTACATACAAGCAGGTCACACAGTATGATCACAAATACATAAAATCTCTTAAAAATCTGTTTTTATTAAAAAGTACAGGCTGTATATGTGTTCTCAGCCTTGGAAAAACTTGACATGTTTTGGTATGTGTCTGAACCTCTCTTTAGTGGTTCATTAATAAAACAGATATTTCAACGTGTGCCTACTTTGTTCATGTGCTGTTGAGGTTAATTTCAGTAGTTGTGTGCTATAATGTATTTACAAAGTGTGAAGAGGAGGCAACTTTAGAATAGGGAACATGTTCAGGTCAATTAGAGTCAAATTACTAGCTTATTGGTTATGAACAAGACTTCACTTTAAAATAGGAAACATATTCTTAGATTATAAATACCTAATTAGAGTCAAATTACTAGTTTATTGGTTATGAACAAGACTTCACTTTAAAATAGGAAACATATTCTTAGATTATAAATACCTAATTAGAGTCAAATTACTAGTTTATTGGTTATGAACAAGACTTCACTTTAAAATAGGAAACATATTCTTAGATTATAAATACCTAATTAGAGTCAAATTACTAGCTTATTGGTTATGAACAAGACTTCACTTTAAAATAGGGAACATGTTCTTAGATTATAAATACCTAATTAGAGTCAAACTACTAGCTTATTGGTTATGAACAAGACTTCACTTTAAAATAGGAAACATATTCTTAGATAGAAATACCTATTTTCCAAAATCCTATGGAGAAATTGCATTGCTTTTTTGTCGAAGGAACCCATGCGCAGCTTACTTCCGGGTTTTAGGACGCGTCACTGTGGCTCTATTAGACCCATATTGAGCAGAGCATATTAAGACCAAAACTCATGTACAACAACTTTCTTACTTGCAACAAATAAGCACTAATTAGAGGGTTATTGAGGAAAAACTCTCAACTAATGGCTTATTACTTGTAGAATATGGTCAAGTAGAATAAGGCATTAATAAGTGTTTTATAATGACTAATAAAGAGCCAATATACTGCTAATATGCATGTTAATGAACAACTAGTTGATGGTGAATTTGTGTACCTTAATATAAAGTGTTACCGTGTTTCTTTATTTGCATGTTGTGTCTCTTTGCAGCTGTTTCATGTTTCTTTGTGGTCATTTTGAATGACTTCTGTTTCATACATGTCTCTTTCACTGACATTATTAAGGTGAATAATGGGCAGGGCTGGATCTTGGGGCCCCTTGGCCTGTACCCAGATAGCCCAATCATCAATACATCTAATATAAGTCCTGACCATCATTTGGTAATCTCATAAATAAATAAATAAAAGTGAGACATACTTTTACTAGAACCAGGTTATTATTTATTAATTAACAACGTATTTTTAACCAGCTGTTATTCACGTCTTCACTTTTATTGAATGAAGTCTCTATTTCCTGTCTAATCCTAAAACACCTTGTTCCCCTTTAACCTCCACAGAGAAGCCCCACATTAAACCTGAATATGAGCATTTCATATCCAGTCAATTCAAAGGATGAAAGTGACAGATGACTTAATGGTGATGTTGAAAAGCCACTGCAGCTACATTCCCCCTTTGAAATTAGGTTACACTATATTC